TATATATATATATATATATATTGGTTTCATAAACTTATCAACCCAGTACCATTTGATCCTAAAGCAATATTGACTAATAATGACTAAATTCACATCCACTAAAATTGCTTATTGATCGCATATTTTATTTTCTATAATTTAATCCATTGTTTTAACTTACAATTTCAGATTTTCAAAGTCAAAATTGGGTTATTTCCAAATATTTGACAAGAAAATATTTTATTTTGAATATGTTTGTAAGCATCTTTATATTTAATGTGAAAATATGTGGACTTAATGTTGACGCTAATGCAATCCAACTATTTTTTAAAGTTTTTTTTCTAGTCTAAACATACTTTTAATAATAGTTAGTGCTCTAGTGATTAGAAGAGCTTGCACTGGTATCAAGCTCAAATGCCTGTGTGCTCACGTGCTTGCAAATATAGTCAGCTAACAACGGTATTGAAAAAGTCTTGTTGACAATAACAACCTCATGTTGATGTTAATGATCGGTAAAGTTTTAATTATAGTATAAGTATCTTTGTTCTAAAGTATATAAAACTTTGGTGATGTGTTTACACTATATTTTTAAATCTATGCTCTTTTTTATAAAAGGGACAAACTATTGAAAATTTTATATAAAATTCCCTGTTTATATAATAGATACTGGTTGCTTAAACATATCAACCTTGCGCAACTTTTTCTTTCAGCCATTTTGGCTAATAATAGTCACTAAGTTCACAGCCACTAAAATTGCATACCAATTACCATATTTGATTTTAATAATCTTAAATTCCTTATTTTCTACAAGTTCCTTCATTATCGATCCTACCTCCATTTTCCTTATGAAAATTAATAAATCATATGAAGACCTTTAATGTTTTAAATTTCTCCAATTTAAATCTCCTAATGTAAAATTATCTAAGTAGTGGACATTTTTAGCATTAAATCAAATTTATTCTATTGAACTGAGGTAGTTCTTGTGAGCCTTTGTTTTCTTTACCATAATATCATTGCATGTATCTCAACATACTTTTGTACCTTTTTTTTGTATTAATCAATAATATAATATATGATTTGTTAATTTTACTTTTATATGGAATTTTATCTTAAAACTTATTTAATTTATCAAATTGATAAGCTCATGTTTCTTTAATTTATGTTTTTCAACTAAAATCTTGTTAACTTCACTTGTAATAGCTAATTTGCTATAACTATAATTTTATTTTTTTCTTTTATGATTTGCATATATTTTTTATTCCTTAGCACTCTGCTATACTTATCATCGAGAGTTTATCTTTTACTTTTTGCTCTTCTTACAAAATCTTATAATTTTCTTAACAAGATTTCTTGAATTAATATAATTTAAAATGTACCTTTTGTTTTTAAATGCTTTATTTTTCTTAATAACTTTTTGGTTCTCCACTGCAATGCCTATTATATGATATCGATTTTAATGCAAAATCTTAAGGTCAACTTGCAGCTCTGAAAAATCAATAATTGAAGGACAACTGACCCTTAAATTTTCACCTCCTTGCAATAAATATTTCTCTGCACTTTTTTCTTTGTATTTCAATGCCTACTCCAACTAGGCGAGAGTTGACACAAGGCTATTGATATTATTTTGTTTTATATTTGTAATATAACTGTAAGAACTAAGATTTTTTATGTAGTCAAATTTTTTCTTATTACCACTTTCTATTCTTTGCAGAAAAAAAAAATTATCTTTCCTTTAAGTGAAACTGAGGTCTATTTATGATTTCATAAATCCAATTTGAAAGTATCCTCAAGTGTTCATGCTTCCTAAGGCATGTGTTTGTGTTTTATTTTTGTCATAAATTCTCTCATAAACCCTTTGTAATAAAATTTACATGTCCACTCAAGTCACTAATAATAATTATACTTTTATCATATCCTTGTATTAATTTTTCTTTTTTTTCCCTTCAATGCTGTATTTTTTTCTCTTAATATTTAATTTCAAGATTACCAGTGACATTTTAATGGTTTCATCAGTAATTAGCTAATAACAATCACTCTTATCATTAGTCTTATTCACATTAATAGTTTTTTTTTTAAATTCTATCTCTTATTATCCCATCATAGACGGCTTAAATCAGTTTGGGCCGGGCAATTGATGCCCTTTTTTTACTTTCTTTTATGGGAATTTTTGCAGCCCACTTCTCACCACAATCAAATTAAGTTGCAAAATAATTTTTGGGAAAACCTCCATAAATTCCTTTCTATCTTAAGTAGTTTAAGTAGGTTTTTTTAGTAATTTTGTTCAATGAATTTTCTTGTTAAAATTTGGTGGTTAAAACTTGACTTCTCTTTTTTTCATGGTGCTTTTGCATTAAATTTTTAATGTTATGCATATCTTTTGTAATAAATACTTGAATTTCTTGTAACCCTTGACTGAAATATAAGTGAATGATTAAATTCTATTGATCTTTTGTTCTAAAATATAAATTCATTCTTTCACAGGTGTACCTGTGTGAGAAGTTATCGCTTGTGAATGAGATGTACTTTGCCATTACCCTCGACCGTTCTAGTGCTGGTCCAGTATGCTTCGAGATCTAGTGCTTTCTTCCTCTTTTTTCATTTTATTTTTTTCATATCATTGTTTTTTATCACATGTAATTGCATTGTCATAGTTCAATTCTTAAGCATTTTTGTACGTATTATTCACAAGGAATTACATTGTGTGCTTATTAATTGTACACTTTTTATTTTTTATTTTAGGGGCATTTAAATACATACCACCCTATTCCTATGTATTTTCATATCTACCACCTAAACTTTATTTCTTACATTCATAGTTTTATACCATCCAAATCTTTAATATCATGTCAAAAATACCATTAGTTTAACCTTTAAGAGGTGAAATACACCTTTTCATGCATATGTACTGTGGCGTAAATGTGGTGCCGTATATGGAAAAAATGAAGTTTAGGTGTTAGATATGTAATTACATAAGAATTGAGTGGTATGTATGTAATCCTTCCTTTATTTTATTTGCGAGGAGAATTGGAAGCTTGGTACATATATTCAGTAGCGCTTGATTTTTCCTTTTTTCTTTCCAAAGCTTGGAACATCCTAGTTCTATTTGTAAGAACTGCTACACCTGAAGTGAAGTATAAAATAGGTTAATCATGGTGGCTTATAGTTTCCATTGATTGAAACTATTTCCTTGTTTTTAGTAATAAGAAAATGATTGTAAAGCTGCTTGGCTAATTCCCTTGTTGAATTAATGCATGAATTGTGGGTTGATCCTAAAAAGTTTTATAAGGCTAATGATGATGATTATCTCAGTTACTTCATATTCTAATATTATTTTTAACTGGATTATATAGTTTTGTTTAGGGGCATTTACATACATACGCCACAATTCTGATGTATATACATATCTTGCTACTAAACTTTAATATTTCTATACATAACACTCTAATCTTTAATATCACATCGAAAATATCACTGCTAACTTTTAAAAGTGCAGTACACCTTATCATGCATAGTTTCATGCCACAAAGTGTTATAAATGCAAATATTAAACTTTAGGTGTTATATATGTAAATAGAAATTAATAGTGTGGTATGTATGTAAATTTTCCTTTTGCTTTCCACTTGTGTGATCATCTATGTTCTTTTTTCAATGCAAAGATAATAGTCATTCAAATGTTACAAATTTATTAATTGCATCATATGCTCTATTACAATGTTAATTTTGTAAGAACCACAAGACCTTATATATGCTCAAAGATGTCACAGGAGTAGAAGATTTGCATTAGAGTTGACATTTAGAATGTTTAATGCTTGTGCGAAGTGTTCAATTCCTTGCATCTTTTGAAATTTCGGGAGGTTATGTTTTGCATTATTCATATGGGTGAATCCGCATTGTTGTCAGCAAGACAATGAACTATTTTTATTGAGTTCTAGTATTACCTAATTGAATGTTCAGAGGTATTATAGCCATTTTCTTTGAATGGTTTTCTTTTTAAAGACAATTCATTCCACTATAATAACTAGTTATGTTTTCAATTTTGTTGTGATATGAGCTTTGTCCGTGATGCGCCATACATGCAGAAATATCTTCTCGAGCCATGTTGTATTTGATTTCATTAATTTATGTGGTGTTTAGATACCTAGAGATTTTTTTCCTGCTTCACATGATGAGTATAAAGCAAATATTGTCCGAGTAAACCTAAAAGCATTTCTATTCTATGGGGTAAGTTGAGAGTAGTGATGTGCCCGTTTGCTAGAAAGAATATATTTCATGTCATTTATTTTATTTGCCTGTCAATGAAATGAGCTGACTCGTTATTTAGATTTTTGATGAATCATTTCATCTGATAGAACTTGATTCTACATAAAGAGTTGATTTATTCGAGTTCATTTCAGCTTTTGATATATTTCATCTATGCGTTATATCATAAAAAGCAGTCTGCATTTTTTGGCTAGTTGTTATGGCCAACGGATATAAAATGGTGAAACTGAGAAATTAACACCCTATCGATTAAAGGGATTATGAGACATGCTTGGAACATGTTTGTTTTCAAGAGATGTAAAAATGCATTATATGAGAACGCCATCTAGTAATATCTGGGGAAATTCACAAATGTAGCATACAGATCTTATGTATATGTGTATCTCAGAAAGTTTTATATTTATATATATAGCACTTTGGTTCTTTAAACTTGTGCATGAAAAGTAGTATTTCATCTTTACAAAGTGGCAAGAGTATTATTTTTTATGCGACATTAAAAATTTGAGTGCCATGTGTGTCAATATGAAAGCTTAGTTGTACAATATGTAAACACGCAGGAATTGTGTGCTATCTATGTAAACCCCCCTAATATTTAATTATGTGCCAGTCATATTTGTCTGTGGTACAAATTAGCATGTGCTATAGCTCATGGTATAGCATGCCACATCTTTTGTACCAATGACAAAGAAAAGTAAGGCAAGCCAAATGGCACATTCTATGTGTGTTATACTCAATATCAAATAGCTTATATAATATGCACTATTTTGTTAGTGGAGTTTAATGACTGACTTTGTAGTTGTTTTAACTGGAGTAATTTTGTGAGAGCAAGTGACGTGTATGAAAGAATCTAATGCATTTTTTAAGGATGATCTCAGGGGAAATAATGGATTTTCTTCTAGGCTTCTCATAGTTAGATCTAACATAGAAATATGGAGAGTGATGAGTAAGTTTATGCTTTAAGAGAAAATAATGATGAAGACGGTCAATTTCGATTTATAAAGTTGATGATAATTTTCAGGTTCACGAGGTTGGATAGGGATGAATATAGGATCTATAAACTAATTCTTTTTAATGTTTCTGAGCTTAGTGTCACCTCCCAGTAGAGCTCTTTAGAGAGGTGGGCAACCCAAAACTTAAATACTGCTCTTTAGCCCTACACATAGCTAATGTGAGCTTTTTTGTCGGTGACATTCTCCTCCACCCAATCACGTGACGCCCTCGTCACAATCACGTGACGCCCTCGTCACGGATCGGCTCCTCCGAGGGTCCCACCGGAACATGGATTACAAACCTGGCAGGCAGTAATCTACTATGCTACCACTTATCACCTCCCAAAAGAGTTCTTTAAAGAGGTGGGCGGCCCCAGGACTTTAATACTGCTCTTTGGCCCTACACCTAACCGATGTGGGACTTTTTGTCGGTGACATTAGGCTCCAAAATTTATCATTTTTGTCCGAGTCTTATATATTGCTATAATCATATTAATATTTTGTAAATTTAATTATTTTATGTCATGATTAAATTTTCATTCTTAATTGTCTTTAGTTTACCTTCATATATATTAAAGCAATTTCATGTGACTGATTGTGTGTGTTTTTTTCTTTTTGAAATACCACACATGCCGCATTATTTGCTATTTGGTATGGTTCTTGGATACTTTGAGCTATACTTTATTGTTCTCTATTTGCAAATAGGTACCAATAAATGATTCCATTGTCATTTTGCAAAGAATATCAGTTAAATTATTGCTCATGTTAATCCATTTTTGTTCGTTTGTCATTTTCATTGCTTTCAATTTCTTGCTTGTATGTTCGTATTCATTTTTTGTTGTTTTTAATTTGATCTGAAAATTTCTATTCTTTCTCATTCTTTGCAGCTTATTATAGCTTGTCGAAAGGGAGGAACGAGCATAGAAGACCTCGCAGAGAAGTTTCCGGATATGATTGTTAAGGTTATCATAACAATCTTGGTTTATTTTGATCCTTATTTTGGAGATTTCTACTATTTCACATTCCATTATGTCACTTCTTGCTTCATATAGGTTCCTATTGATGTTTTCAAAGGAATCACGGACGAAGACGCTGCTAAAGTCGTCGATGGTCTTGCACCTAAGGTGGCTGATAGGAATGCTTCAATTGAGCAAGTGAAGCAGCTTTATGAACTTTTTTGCAAGTGTGATTGCACCTTATTGGAGGTTTTTTTTCTAAATAAGCTACACAATTTATTTATGATGGAAGTGTTAAAATAGTCTCTGACTCCTTGCATGAGGGCCCATTTTAGTCATAGAGTTTATAAAAGTGTTAAATTAAGTCTCACTCTTTTAATATGAGCAGAAATAGTCCCAAGGAGAACTATTTTAGCCCTGATTAAAATAATATCTAACACCTAACACCTAACTTTTAACTTTTACATATATGCCATCTTACTTCTGCAAGAAAAGGATTATTTATACTTTCTAGAAGTTAAAGTGATGGTATTTTTGATGTGATATGGGAGATTTGGGTGGTATAAATGTAGAAGGTAATGTTTAGTTGTTAGATATGTAAATACATAGTAATTTGGTAGTATGCATGTAAATGTTAAAATAGGGATGTTTTTTACATATTACCACTTTATATATTCATTAAAAGATGTATTTCACTTTTTAAAAGTTAAAATAGTGGTATTTATTATGTGATATGAAAGATTTGGGTGATATACATGTAAGAAGTGAAGTTTGTATTAGATATGTAAATACATAAGAATTAAGTGGTATGTATGTAAATGCCCCTATGGTTGATATTCCAGGGAGAGAAAAGTAGCCCATCTAAGTTGAATTTCATAGCATACAAATCAAAAGCAACATGAGTAATATATTTAAGTAAGATTGAAAGACAAGTGAATGAAGCATTCATTTTCTTTGAGTCCACTGTCCACACTCCTGATTATAGTTGCTTTCTGATTTTTTTTTGGGGGCAGTTACAACCATACCACCAAATTCCTATGTATTTACATATCTAACACCTAAAATTTGTTTTTTAACATATATGCCACCCAAATCTTTCATATCATATAAAAAATGCAACCTTTTAACTTTTAAAAGGTGAAATACACCTCTTCATGCATAGTTAAGGTAAGTTGGTATGTGTGTAAAAATTAAAGTTTAGGTTTTAGACTTGTAAATAGATAGGAATTGACTGGTATTTATGTAAATCTTCTTTTTTTTAAAGTATGCTTTTCTCTTGTGTTCGAGATAGACTGTTGATCATTTTTCTTGTGCTTTTTCCTTAGGTTGCTGCTGGGAAAGCTGATCTAAACTACATTGGATTGGATGGAGAAATTGGATGCATGGTTAATGGTGCAGGATTGGCAATGGCTACTATGGACATAATAAAATTACATGGCGGTACACCTGCCAATTTTCTAGATGTTGGGGGGAATGCTTCAGAAGGCCAGGTGTAAATTTTTCTTCCAGCACTAGTATTTAATTTAGTGGTTTATATAACACGATTATAGAAATTTATCCTATTTCTAATATACACGTTTATAAATAGGGAAATTTACGTACATACCACTCAATTCCTATTTATTTACATATCGAAAACCTAAGCTTAAATGCTTCAGAAGACCACCTTACCGATGCATGAAAAGGTGTATTTCACTTTTTAAAATTTAAAATAGTGGTATTTTGTGATATGAAGATTTGAATGATATAAATTTAAAAAGTAAGGTTTAGGTATTAGATATATAAACAGATAACAATTGGGTGGTTATGTAAATGCCCCTTATAAATATCTGAGCAAAAAGTAATGATGAAGTTATAGTTGCCTCTGCCCTAAAAAGAGCGTGGTAGTTATTAGCTCCATTTGTTTGGCCTTCTACTTAGGTAGATTCCTTTCAAATTAAAGTTAAATGACTATCAACTAAATTCTTTTTTTTTTAAGTATGATGAGATATGGTACCTTACTTTAGGGGTGTAAACGAGATGAGTCAAGCTCGAGTCACCCTCGGCTTGAGCTTGAGTTTGAGCTTGAGCTTAAGTCCTTAAGCAGGATTGTTTATTATAACATATATAAAATAATATTAATTTAAACTACTGTTATAATAAAATGATAAATGTAATGAACAATTAGATGATAAATAATAATTAATCAGATGATATAATATATAGAATATTATTTTTTAAATATTTTTAATAATTTAAAAATAAAGTCTTGAAATTTAATATATTTTGAATACATTTTATATTATTATTTTCTTAAAAGAGCCTGCTCACAAACTAACAAGACAAATCATTCGCTCATCAAGCTAAGCTCATGAGCCACTTATCGTGCTCGAGCTGGTTCGCGAGCCAGCTTGGCTCAATTACACCTCTACCTTACTTTCCATCAAATTGTTTACCTCATAGCTATTCCTTATAATTAAAATTATTCTTAGGAATATTTTAATTGAAAAATTGAGTGGATATTACAATATCATAACTAATACAACAACAACATGCCTTTATCCCACTAATTGGGGTCGGCAAAATTAGTCCTTTTTATCGATTTCATTCTATTGAATGTCATATTTTCATTTAATTATAATAAATTAAGATCATTTCATCATCTTGATATATTGATTGTCTTTTTAGGTCTACCTCTGTCTTTCCTAACATAAGTTGAATCTAAAGCAGCTACTCTCCTAAATCGGATCATCAGATGGTCGACATTTAATGTGAACAAACTATCTAAGACAACTCTCTCTAATATTGTCTGCCACTGGAGCTACACCAACCCTTTCACGCATTTATTTACCTTCAATAGACCCGCAACTAATATTATTAGAAAATGATTAGCATTTGGATGTGATAAGTTAAAGTATTTTGTATTTGGCATATAAAAGAATGAAGGTATTGAGCGGATATAACTAAGGGTTAAATTTGGATAGATGGAGAAATATTTGTGGAGCACTCTGTGATAATAGAATGTCACAGAGATTTTGGATGTGTTTGGGGCGACGGCGTACGACAGTTTTTCTTGTTTGACAAAATTGCATTTTGCCCGCGTTCTCCAAAAATTGCAACAAAAGCTGCATTTTTCCACAAGACCTGACTATCTGCGGTGACTGCTAGAAAACTGCAGTCTTATTTTTTCAAAAAAAAAATCTTACAACCATTGCAGTTTTTTAAATTTCTTTATCAGTTTCACGACTGCTTCTTCAAACAGCTGCAGCTGCCCCAAACAGATTCTTAGTGGTCTGTTTTGGGCAGCTGCAACAGTTGTGGCAGGAAGTTGCTGCCGAGAAGTTGACTGTTTGTTTGTTTTTGCAGTTTTAAAATAACTATGTTATAGCTGTTTTTGAACAAATAACATTTTTTTCTCTGCGCTATAATATTTTTTATAACAAAATTAATCCTACTAGCACATTTGATACTCCTACTAGCACATTTCATACTTGAAAGCAAATATTTATTTCTAACATTACAAAGTAAAAATAGACATTTCACAAAAATAGTGGGCAACAGGACAATCAAAATTAAAAAAAAATTATTGAAATAATATATAATAATATGATAATATTATTTCTAAAAAACACTTGGTTTGTGTCACAAGATTAGGGGTGTGCATTTGGTCGGTTTGGATGGATCAATTTTGAAATTGTGCAAAATGATTTGAACCAAAATCCATAAATCAAACTACCAAACTAAACAAAATTATGACAAAACTGAACTAATCAAACCAACTTTTAATTCAGGTTGACCGGTTCGGTTTTAAATGAACCGAAATATATATATTTGATCTATAAAAAATAAAAAAAATATTATTCCAAAACTCTTCATTCGTTTTAAAAAATGAACCAGTCAAACATTGTCTCTTGACAATCTAAAAACATTGCTAAATTATGTAAATTTTGGTTTTCAATTGATTCGGTTGAAAAATTTTTAAAACGAAAAAGTGAGCCGAAAACTAAACATTGGTCTTTAAAAAATTGAAATCTAAACTTTTAATTTAGAACCGAACCAAATTATTATTTCAGTTAGGTTTGATTCTATTCTCTTAGTAAAACCAAACAATGCACACCCTTGCACTAGATAATCAATCCTCCAAGGAAACTCACTATGTTTGATCACTATCGGCGGTAGAATCATCCAACTCATCCACCCACCTTAAGAAGTCACAGCTTTCTGCTATTTTTCTTGGACACATGTAAAACTATCTCCCGTAGCTATGTAATTGTTTTAAAGTAAGCAGGAAATATTGTAGTTCATAGTAGTAGTACAATGCTCTGGAGGTATTGGAAGTCTTCGAGCTCATCTTTTCTAAAGAGTTTAAAATAACAAAGCACAAACCTTTAGATGCTACATTAATGAAAAATAATAGTAGAAATAATCAATTTAAGTTTCATGAAATAGTGAGATCTCAGAGAGCATAATATAAATCAATGAATTTGTCACTACAAGAAGGCAACAGACATTATAAAAAGAAAGAGTTATTGGTTGTCTTTATACCATATAGTACGGAGCTCGTATGCATCACATATGCATATCACAAAAAAAAAAATCCACAAGAACCTCAACAATCATAGGGCTGAAAAGAGAACTCTTAAGGTCAAATATCACATCATAGACCTTCAGAACCCAAAATAAAACATGTAATAAAAATTTAGATTGCATATTATATCCACAGTTGTCTCATCGACTATCCAAATAGGAAATAATACATGCAAACGAATCGAAAATAAAATTGAGATTCAAAATATACATCATTGCATAAAACATTGATACAATAAATAGTAAACGTTTCACAATGCATTGCAAATAAAGTAGCACTAAAAAGACAGAATCATTCCATTCAGCCACCAATGATGACATTTGTAATTCACTTTCTCAACTCTATTATTTTCCTTGTGCCTTCTTCATCCTGGATGCAAGTCTCAGACAAATCACTTTCAAAATGTGATACAGATTGTCCTAGACGATACTCATATGCTTCAACAAGATTCACCAGCCCTATTGAAGTCAATGTCATTGCGCGAAGGATACCGCTGAATAAAATTGTTGAGAGTCATTATGGTGACCACAATCTGCACTTATTTAGGAAACATATGTGACGACATATCCCGCGATATGACTCATTTTTCCTTCCAAATTTCAAATATCCTTTCAATGACATCGCATAAGAGTGTCTCTTGTTAAATATCTATTTCCTATCCCGAGTGACATTGTTAATTCTTTCGAAATCAGGAATGTGATATTTGGTATTAGGAAAGGGTTTGAGATACTTTATATGTAACAGATATCCAACGCCAACCAAATAATATTTTTTTGATGTAATATTAATCATCAGTATTGCACAAGATATTAATATTTCATTTGTTCATATTCAAGTTAACCTGGAGGTGGCTTCGAAAAGTTATACTTTGAGTTCTTGTAGCAAAATTAAAAATATGGTTGTCGTTGCATTGCATTCCTATCCGACCATTACAAATGTGAAGAACTTATTAAAATCACATTTAACAATCACATTTTTTGTTGGTGAACTACATCGTTTAACGTATGCAATCTTTTTACTGTTGGGTAGACGTGCATCTATATGTGTTCTATCAATCGTTCCAAAACAAATCTAAAATATTTATCAAAGGTGTTAGAGATATTGTGCTCGAGTAAATTTAGGAAAAGATGAACACATGAAACTATCTTAAAATATGATCTTGTGAAGTATGTACTGGTGTGCTTAGGAATGTGAGATTTTCGAGTACGATGACTTTTAATGATAAGCTAATCGGAGCATTTAACCCAACTGAAAAATATCTATTGATTATTTCAGATGAGTGCTAGAATCGCTCCATGACACCTCTCATGGACTCATTTTGTAATATAGAGGGTTATGTCTATGGCTAACACATCTCTTAAAGTCAATCATGGATGAACCATAAAGTCCATGCTTTATGTGCAATTCTTCTAATAGATCAATAAAAATATGTGTTATATGAAACATGTTAAATCTTGTGGGGTGACCCATGTGTAACTGTCCTACTCACTTGTTGCCTATATACATAGATGCATGCAAGGAGAGTGAGCAGCATACGAGTTGTCATATTTGTACATTAAACATACTACAATTGTAATTTTTCTCTTGCGTCTTTCTCTATCCGTGATATTCATTATTTATTCAGCTAACACATACCAATAACACTAAATTAGAAAGAACTGTATTAAACGTAAAGAAATGCATTAAAGATGTTTTAATTAAATAAAAAAAATCCAAACATAATGCAAGTAGCATAGATAATGCCCACGGTTAAATTCTCACTTAAAGAGGTTCATCAATTAAAATGAAATTCACGCATCACGATTGTTATAGTAATAGCACAAGTAATTAATCATATTTTCTGGTTTCATTGACATAAAAACTATTCTAGTCGGGTATTCTTAACTATTTCATGGAGAACATGTAAAACAATATGTTCTCATCAATTTTTGGAGTATCTTTTAGAATTCTCATAACCTGTTAAATGGAGGACGCATATGGTCCGCTAAGCTCCTGGTGCATAAAGCCACTAATTGGGAGATCTGACTTATAATGAAAGCTGCACATCTTTTTTCTTTTTTTCTACCCTTGGACGTTTGGATCGATTTGTAGATCCTATTTCATTTTGGTTGGGATTGGATCCCTCATTAGACCCAATAGATTGTTCCACTTCTAAATGCTTAGATTTGCCTTTGTGTTCTCTTGCTTGGTGCCCATGCTTGATCATCGGTGGCCGCCACTCCACCTAACTTAAAGTCAAACTTATCTTCAAACTCAGGGTCTGCCACTAAACTTGAATTTTTTTGCAGCTGACACGACCTACAAATCAATTAATACTTAAATTGATTAGTGCAAATTTAAAAAATTCTAAATGAGTTTCATTTCAAATATTCTCACATCCAATCTCTCGGTCTACCATTTTTCAGAAGCATTGATGGGTCGCTTTATAACATTGCAATCCAAATGTGTGGATCCTCTCTCGCTTTAGCTCTTTCCATTTTTTAAGTCCTTTTTAAACTTATCTCATTTGTTTTTAAATTGCATTATATCGTATTCTCTTCCTTTGTTTTCTTTAAACTTTTTTATTATATTATGCCAACCTTGTTAAAATAGGTTGTTGGCTAATTTCTCAATTTGACCACCTTAACACAGAGCTCACAGAATATTAACGTCGTCTCTTTATCCCAGGTAGCATGTGAATCGATTTCTTTGCCTTGCCCATTATGACAACTAGCATGCAAAAAACTAAACAACATAAACTTTTGAGAGAAACAAAAAAATAAGAAACAAAAACATCTACAACACCACACTATATCATCAGCACCATACATTTACTATCTTATCACAACCACCACCACCATATCTATCAACATTTCATCATCATTGCCTGCGCCAACACTATCACCATCGTAGCACTGCATCATCACCACAACTATCTTCACTATACCATCAACACCTCCACTATCATCACTAACAACAGCACCATCATGAAAAACCCATTGCACCATACTAGCACCTCCACACCACCGCAACACCAACAACACACCACTGCCTCCACACCACACCTCCACCACCTCTAGACCACACCAATACCACTATCACCACATGATCTTAACAACCAAAACATCACAACCACCACCAAAACTACCGCAAATTTCGGGCAACCACCAACTACCATAACACCACCATTATTTTAGCCAACAACCAATATTACAACACAACCACCATATTTCGGGAAACATCACCAACATCATAGCACACCACTATAATCGTAAAAGGACCGTGAAGAAACGCGGGCCGTGAGGTTGAACCCATGACTCGTGTTTAAGCGGACTTTTCTCAAAATGCAAGCTCACCGCAACAACCAAACAACCTCGCCTGCGTTTTCCCACCGCACCGCGACAAAAAAGCCACGCCAAGCGACCCCATAGTGATTAGGCTCGCCAGATTGTATGAATTAAGAGTTTTTTAGAACAAGAAAAAAGTTCAGTTGTGTACTAAAGGCACGCTTCATAGCATGCTTCACTTTGATGCTGTACAAAAGTATTTCCACAAATTATTTTTTAACATTGCGTGCAACACTTAATGTGGACGAGTGGAGAATGAGGATGATTAATGCTAAAATCAAATAGTTTAGATTAGGTTAATGATGATGGTGATAAAGACTCATAATATTTTGATGAATTCGCTTTTTATCTTGGGACTTTTACATACATACCACTTAATTCTCATGTATTTACATGTCTAGAACCTAAACTTTACCTTTTACACTCATACCACTTTGAATCTTTCATATCACATAAAAAAACCACCAATTTACCTTTCAAAAAGTGAAATGCACCTTTTCATGCAAAGTTGAAGTGGCACACATGTAAAATTAAACTTTAGGTATTACATATGTGAATACAGAGGAATTAAGCGGTATGTATGTAATCGCTCTTTTTATCTTTTCTTCTAATTCTAAATGGGATTTATGGCAGGTGGTTGAAGCGTTCAAAATATTAACTGCTGATGACAAAGTGAAGGCTATTTTGGTCAACATATTTGGGGGAATCATGAAATGTGATGTGATAGCGAGTGGCATTGTCAATGCCGCAAAGCAGGTTCGACGCACTTTTTCATCCTATTTCCATTTGCTTCATCCCAATAGCCAAGTTCCTTTCGAAGGGCTGTTAGGGATCACTTTTGATTTTAATTTTCACTTCATCTTATATTGTATGTCAAGAACTCATTTCATTCCCAATTCTTAAATGAAAGATAAAAGATGAGCCATGTGATGGTATTAGTTGATGTTATTTTGGACTCCAATTATTTCAATGTCACCAACTTGTTTCGAAAGTGTCATATTTCTTCAATTTAGTCCCTTGATTTTACAAAATTGAACCAAAATGGTTCCTCAGGGTTTAAATTATGATCAATTTCGTATCATTTATTTGTTGTCGGGGGGATTAAATTAGAGAAATATGGTTGGTATTATTATTAAACTTTCTATGGAAATTTAATGTTTATTATTATTATTATTAATTGCAAAATTTACATGCTTTATTAGGTTTCATTAAAGGTGCCTGTGGTGGTTCGATTGGAAGGAACCAATGTAGATCAAGGGAAGAGGATTCTGACCACCTTAACACAGCTCACAGAATATTAACGTCATCTCTTTATCTCAGGTAGCATGTGAATCAATTTCTTTGCCTTGTCCGTTATGACAACTAGCATGCAAAAAACTAAACAATATAAACTTTTGAGAGAAACAAAAAAATAAGAAACAAAAACATTTACAACACCACACTATATCATCAGCACCGTACATTAACTATCTACCACCACCGCATCACAACCACCACCACCATATCTATCAACAGTTCATCACTATTGCTTGCACCAACACTATCACCATCGTAGCATTGTATCATCACCACAACTATCTTCCCTATACCATCAACACCTCCACGATCGTCACTATCAACGCCACCACCACTGCAACACCAACACACCTCCACAACCTCGAGACTACACCAATACTACTATCACCACATGATCACAACCACCACCAAAACTACCGCAAATTTCAGGCAACCACCAACTACCATAACACCACCATTATTTTAGCCAACAACCAATATATTACAACACAACCACCATATTTCGGGAAACATCACCAACATCATAGCACACCACTATAATCGTAAAAGGATCGCGAAGAAACACGGGCCGTGAGGTTGAATCCATGACTCGTGTTTAAGCCAACTTTTCTCAAAACGCAAGCTCACTGCAACAGCCAAACAGCCTCGCCTGCGTGTCACCACCGCACCGCGACAAAAAAGCCACGCCAAGTGGCCCCATAGTGATTAGGCTTGCCAGATTGTATGAATTAAGAGTTTTTTAGAACAAGAAAAAAGTTCAGTTGTGTACTAAAGGCACGCTTCATAGCATGCTTCACTTTGATGCTGTACAAAAGTATTTCCACAAATTATTTTTTAACATTGCGTAACACTTAATGCGGACGAGTGGAGAATGAGGATGTTTAATGCTAAACTCAAATAGTTTAGATCAGGTTAATGATGATGGTGACATAGACTCATAATATTTTGATGACTTCGCTTTTTATCTTGGGACTTTTACATACATACCACCTAATTCTCATGTATTTACATGTCTAGAACCTAAACTTTACCTTTTACACTCATACCACTTTGAATCTTTCATATCACATAAAAAAACCACCAATTTACCTTTCAAAAAGTGAAATGCACCTTTTCATGCAAAGTTGAAGTGGCACACATGTAAAATTAAACTTTAGGTATTACATATGTGAATACAGAGGAATTGAGTGGTATGCATGTAATCTTTCTTTTTATCCTTTCTTCCAATTCTAAATGGGATTTATGGCAGGTGGTTGAAGCGTTCAAAATATTAACTGCTGATGACAAAGTGAAGGCTATTTTGGTCAACATATTTGGGGGAATCATGAAATGTGATGTGATAGCAAGTGGCATTGTCAATGCCGCAAAGCAGGTTCGACGCACTTTTTCGTCCTATGTCCATTTGCTTCATCCCAATAGCCAAGTTCCTTTCGAAGGGCTGTTTGGGATCACTTTTGATTTTAATTTTCATTTCATCTTATATTGTATGTCAAGAACTCATTTCTTTCCCAATTCTTAAATGAAAGATAAAAGATGTGCTATGTGATGGTATTAGTTGATGTTATTTTAGGCTCCAATTATTTCTCTGTCACCAACTTGCTTCGAAAGTATCATATTTCTTCAATTTAGTCCTTTGATTTTACAAAATTGAACCAAAATGGTTCCTATGGGTTTAAATTATGATCAATTTCGTATCATTTATGTGTTGTCGGGGGGATTAAATTAGAGAAATATGGTTGATATTATTATTAAAATTTGTATGGAAATTAATGTTTATTATTATTATTATTATTAATTGCAAAATTTACATGTCTTATTAGGTTTCATTGAAGGTGCCTGTGGTGGTTCGTTTGGAAGGAACCAATGTAGATCAAGGGAAGAGGAT